ATACCCAAAAAACTTTCAACTTTTGATCTTTATTAATATATCAGAATTCAGAGATTTAATATGAGACTGAAAATGCACACAAAACCAGCCATGGAACACAAATGGGTAAAACAGACTAGTCAGGGACCAGTGCCAGTTGGAAAGCATGTGTTTCTTAAGCTCCAGGTTCTGTGGCCATTTAGGAAGGCAGGCTCAATACTACATATTTCTTAAGGAGAAATCAGAAGTCTAGACTTGTAATTGTTGGCTCAAATTTTTAAAACATTATGCAGGCTGAACAAAATATATTTGTCTGTGGGCCCATGACCCGGCAGTTAGTAAACTCCATAATAATTTCAAGAGGCACCAGAGTTTCCCATCAGGTGTTCCACAACACACTGACATGCCTAGCTTGGGTATAGCTGTGTAGAGATATCAAGTGCTCAGCCCCAGGTGAGGCCTGGATTGGCCAGGTGAGGACTCAAGTGGCCAGCTCTGAGACAGTCATCAAGCAGCCTTATCAGGTGACCCCAGCGTACCACACAAATATCAACATTTTCTATGTGTGCCTGTCTGTCTGTGCCTCTGGATTTTTTTTCTTTCTTTGGAAACACACATATATGTTTCTTTATCTTATTAGCCTATTTCCAAAAGCACATACAAAGCACAATATAAATTATATTCCAGAAATAACTGGAAACTAACCTTAAGAGATTCTTTTTTTGTGAGCTTGCTTGAAGTTGAGCTGTCCTTCTCCGAGCCATTATAAAGTTTAGATTCAGACTGAAATCATATAGAAATGAACAGAAGGGAAATAATCAAAACCTTCACTTATTCTATACATCATATAAAAATTAATCTGAAAGCTATGTTTGCGATTCTTCCCATTTATTGCTAGTATTTAAACAAATGTCTATTTTCAAATACCAATGTTCTCTATATAATATTTTTGTTTAAAAACAGATCCATGTTGAACCCACAAATACGCAAAAGTAAAAACTAATCAATAAATTAATTTACAACATGAAGTTAAATAAGATCATTTGTAAATTGTTATCTTCTATTTTTCCACGGTGTTTCTAAAAACATATACAATTATGTATTAATAGTTAGGACAAAAGTAGGCAAAACAATACTATTTTTTAACAATTGAAATATTTTAAATAAAAAACCAAACCATGTAAATTCTAGCAAGTTGGTGCATTTTTGCCCTGTTGCTATGCTCCCCTAATAGGAAGAAATAAAAACATCTCTAGAAACTAGTATTTAGGTTATTAAGTATGGAATGTCCAATTTCCTTAAGTACTAAGTTTGACAGTTGATATCTGACCTTTCGCTTTGACACTTTTTTTTCCTTTTTTATTGTGAAGGTACATACTCATTCTTTCAAATGCACATTTTGGCTTGTGATTATCTTTCAAAAAATTTTTTTAGAGCAATGTTTGGGAAATCATGGATACATCAAAAACTCATGCTATTTTTGAATATGAGTTCCGTCATGGAACCAATGCAGTGCAGACAGCCTGAAATATCAACGAAGTGTTTGGGAAGGATGTAGCATTAATGAATGCACAGTATGTCACTGGTTTGAGAAGTTCCATTCTGGTGATTTTAATCTTGAAAATGAGCCATGCGGGCTACCTGAGACCAAGG